CACAGGCTCAAGTGGCAGCTTGTGGTCAGCAACTTGTGAAGACGGTCGTTTCTCATCCCCAACTGTAGCCTCCAGGGTTGGCTCTTTGAGGGCTCCGGCTTGCTCAGCGAATGGAACTTCTGAATGGTTCCATCTTCTTTCACCAAAGTCAAGAGCTCTTCGAGCAGTTCCTGCGCCGCAGTCATTGGCGTCCGCAGGAGGAGCTTCTTCTCCTTCAAGTCCCACTGCCTGTACCTCCAACAAAATCCCGTTCTTCACCAAGGTGACCCGGAGTGGGTCCTGTTCCCCGCAACTCATCAGCTTCAGGAGCCGACGGTGCAACTCGCGTAGGAGGGCCAACACCGAGTGTGAGCGAAGGTTGGTGTTCTTCTCCTTCAAATCGTGCCTTCTTGGCTGAGAACCAAGCAGAGTATGAATGTAACCTGTTGAGCCGTCGCCTGCGTGTCTTGGTCGTGACGAAGCATCAAATGTCCCATGATTCGAATGAGATCTCGTAGAGGGGGTTCCCTGGTGACGGTCTCACTTGCTTGGGCCGGTTCGACGGGTCCTGCTCGCTGGCCCCAGCCTTGAAGCGCCACCAATGATTGCTCCATGAAAGCGTCCTCCATTGACACCAAGCCGCCAAAATCGTTCATGGATCGGCAAGCTGAATCAGCGTGGGGCAGGCAATGAGGTGTGCCTTGATGTCTGCGCGAGCCATTCATTGACTGAGTCAATGAGCCAGGCAGGAGTCTAATCATCTGATGGACAAACACCATTGTAGCAACGAGAACTCAAAATCTGAAGCAGTTCAGTGCACTGCCAGAGCTTGTTGAATTGTCTGTCAGTGAGCCAGTGGTGCACTTCATCTGCGCGCGAATCAATTCGGAACATGTGAATGGCATGGTAACCAGCCTGCCAACAGCTGAACATCGGTCAGGTCCCTGCCAGGTGGTGCGAATGTACTTTCTGAAACAGGCAACCTCCTCTACCGTGCTCATCAATTGTCCCTAACCGTTCCTAAGTTTGAGCTTCCTGTCCGGGCGTGGAGGAGAGAACGAATACAGGAAAACAAAAAATAGGAGTCATGTTTGGCAGCCGCCTGGCCTGCAGTCTGGATGACGTGCTCAAACCTGGCCGTCTTTGTCATTCTGACATAGGAGGCATGTTGCCTCTGCCGAGCGCAAAACTGTGTCCAATGCCACATTTGTCAAAAAGAGATCGAAGCGAAATTGAAGCAGGTTTACGAAGACCATGAAAGTGTTGCCATTTGGTATAAACCGCATGTTTGGAAAGCGACCTAATATGTGGTTGTTGGCTATCAAAAAAGATTCAGTATTGTTGTGTCGACGAGCAAAAACAATGTAGCGACCGAGAATGACAACTAGCTGGTTGGGAAACAAAAGCACTTGCTTTGATGTCCTCAGTTGGAAACTGAATTTTCTGAAACCTGATCCAGAGGCTCAGAGCCCGCCTGCCAGTCGAGCGCATCAATGGTCAGGGCAAAGATGTTCTGGACATCACGCTCAAAATGCTCCCATTGAAGCGTGCCTGCTAGTCTGGCTTCTCTGCCATGCTGTCGATGCTGAAGCTTGAGCTGACGGTCATTCGTTCGAGCTTTAGGGGCCCAAGGTAGAGCAAAGTTGCGCAGCAGTGGAGGATGATGAGGTACTAGCAAAAGGCACCTCAGTCAAGAGAGTCGCTGTTCGTGCCCGAGCATCAACAAATATCTGGCGCAGAAAAATGAAGTCAATGTGTGACACCGCTCCCAGTGGGTTGTAGGAGGTAGGGCCAACCAAGTCTATCATCCCAGCAGTTCAAAGCTACCAGCCCATGTTGCATCACCAACTTATGCTGAGTGCCAAGGGTGTGACCGCCACCATGGGTAAACACATTGGTACCAGTGGTTGGATAGCCCGCAGTCAAACAGCAGTTGAAATCGCCAGCCAGAATCAACCCACGCCGCTGGGCGAGAGAATTCGAAGCTGTATGTAGCTGACTCCGAAGAGTCATCCTGTCGTTCATATCTGCCGTGGCCCACGCGTTGATAGCAGGCCAAGATGTCCAGATACCTAGGGGCCAGGTGGAGTCTAAGATGGACCAGTCTCCCAGGAATTATGGTGCGGTGACTGAGCTGACTGCTGTCACATAGTTGCTTGGACACAATGATCAGGATGCCAGCTCCTTTCCCATGGCCTGGTCCACTGTGAAGGAAGAGCCATTTGCCACTTTCCCAGAAAGATTCGAAGGACCATCGTGTCTGCGGGAGGATGTAGATTCCCGCTGTTTGACACTCCGCCCAAAGCAAGAAGTCATCCAGCTTACAGCGTGAGAGTCCACCTGGATTCCAGACCAGGACGGTAGCTGGTAGGATGGAGGCCATCACTATCAGGTTGGAGGAAATCGCTAGTAGGATGGAGATCATCGCTCCTAGGTTGGAGGCCATCGCTCTGGGGTTGGAGCCATTCCTATCTATAGGTTGGAGGCCATCGCTCTCAGGTTTGAGGGCATCGCCCATTGCTATTGTGTTGGAGGCCATATTGGGTTGGAGGCCATTGCTATCAGGTTGGTGGCCACCGCTCTTAGGTTGGAGGCCATCGCTATGAGGGTTGGAGGCCATTGCTCTCAGGTTGGAGGCCATCACTATTAGGTTGGAGGCCATCGCTTTTAGGTTGGAGGCCATCGCCATCAGAATTGGAGGCCATCGTTCTTAGGTTGGGGGCCATCGCTATTGTGTTGGAGGCTATTGCTATTAGGTTGGAGGCCATCGCTCTTAGGTTGGAGGCCATCGCTCTTAGGTTGGAGGCCATCGCTCTTA